TTAGTTTTTTTGGGTAATGTTGCTTTTGTAGTAGTGTGGATGGATGCTTAATGCTTGTTGATATATGGAACACGACATGCAGTCGAAATGTTTAACTTTGTTTATCCACTCGTGCTGCCAATATTTTATTATATTTTTTTTTGTTAACGTAGGAACCCGCAGCCGCTACCCGTCAGCGGAACCCCGACCACTGTAAGTGCGCACTAGGTAAACCCCGCTCCATGTGCAATAGCTCGCAAACTACACAAAAGAGGTAAATCGCACTAGGCAAGCCCGATGTAACGGGCTCGACCGAGAAAGTATTGGTAGGAGATTCGAACTCGTGACCTTTAGTCTCCGCGTTCACCTGTTCCATCAACTCGGTCACCCCAAAGGGGTATATTATATGGTTATTTTGCTTTAGTGGTAGTATTTTTGCTTCAACTTAGGAACTAAGTTATCAGAAGATAGTAGGATATATGGTGTTGATAATACATGTACTAGTGGTACTACCTTATCAAAAGTTGCAATAGAACAATATAACTCCATAATACATTTGTTGGAGGTGCAAACATTTCATGACAACGATGTTGGAATTACAGATGCGGGTGCAAACATTGTTATGGTTCTCCACATAGCAAAATCAATGTGAGACACAAAAATCGACGATAACATAAGCCTACAAACATATTATAAGATCAGTGCTGGTACAACAATTTTTTAAGCCTACAAACATATTATAAAACCAATGCTACAACAAACTCGATAATAACATAAGCGGTTCAATTCATGGATCTCTTCCATTTGGTTTCCCGCTATCTTTATCTCATTTTCCCTTGCGGAAAGTAAATTTGACAAATACATCCACGTCATTTTCTTCGGTTATTGTAGCAACATTCTTCAACAAACTTGACAACTCTTGAATTTTCAATGTATCACTTGACTCACCCTTAAATTGTCGAAATTCTTCTTTGTCGAGTCACTTGAAATGACCGCAATAGTTCGTACAACAGAAGAATAGCCGACCTAAGTTTTTATTATTCTTTTCAACCTCCATGCATTTCTCAATTCCCTTACCGCATACTGGGCATGGTTTTTTCATCGGGCATTCCGACAGAAAATGACCATGCCTTCTACAACCATAACAAATGCCATTGATCTTCCCTGCCATTACAATATGCTATCCCAACCACAAAATACCCGAAATAGTATAATATAGCAAAAAAAAAATTAAATTAAATTTCAAGTATCTACAACTACTAAAAATCATCTTCACGATACAATCTTTTCGTTTACTTCAAATTTCCAGAAATCAAACAAATTTTGATCCAGAAAATGGTTCAATTAATGTAAAGAAGCAAACATGAAGAACATAACATTTTGCTACTAAGTACATCCGATACTGTAAGAGTTAGTGAAAATTGGTGCTGAAGTGGGATGAAACCAGCAGCAGCAAAGAAGGGAAAACAGAGAAAAAGAAGGAATTGACGAAGGCACCCCAAAGAGGTAAATCTATTGTGATTCAATTAATTGTTATGTTGTACAGTAGTCATCTAACACTATACAATATAAAATGACTAAGTTATCCCTAAACATTTATACAAATTACAATACATCCTAACAAGTTGTTGGGAATCTGTTGTGTGCATCTGAACATATTTGCTGAAGCGGCAATGGAGTGTTTGCTGAAGTGGCAATTGAGTATTATTCTGTAATATCCCCCATCAAGATGGAGCATAGATATTTTCTATCTCCATCTTGGACAATAGAAGTGTAAATTGGGATAAAGGCAAAGCTTTGGTGAATACATCTACAAGTTGAGAATTGGATCGAATGGAACATGGGCGCAGAAATCCAGCTTGAATTTTGTCGCGAATGAGGTGACAATCCAACTCGATATGTTTGGTGCACTCGTGAAAGACATGATTCTTGGCAATGTGTAGCACGACTTAGTTGTCACGGTATAAATCAATAGGGAGAGAGACTGGGAGATGTAAGTCTCGAAGGATGTAGGATAACCACTGTAATTCACATGAGGTTGAGGCCATGGCCCTGTATTCAGCCTCAGCAGAGCTTCGAGAGACAACATACTATTTTTTTGAGCTCCATGAGACGAGTAAACGGTCAAGGAAGATGCAAAATCCTGTAACTGAGCGACGGGAGTCAGTACATGATGCCCAATCAGAGTCTTGAGTATGCACGAAGAGTAAGGAAAGCGATGGAAGGGAAAAACAAGCCTTGTGCAGGCACATTCTTGATGTAACGCAATACTTGATGAGCAGCATGTAAGTGTGTCTTTGTAGGGGTTGACATGAACTGGCTCAAGTGGTGAACTGAGTAGTTAAGATCAGGCCTAGTAAGGATGAGATAAAGAAGTTGACCAACTAGGCGCCTGTAAGGAAGAGGATTAGGGAAAGGTTCTCCATGTATTTTGCTGAGTTTGATATTTTGATCCATGGGAATTTTGATGGGTCGAGAGCCAAGAGTGTCGGCATCTACTAATAGATCAAATGCATATTTGCATTGACAGATGAAAATTCCCTTGGACAATTGAGCGACTTCAATGCCAAGAAAATAACAGAGATTGCCAAGGGGCTTGATTCTGAAATGTCTATTGAGAAATGCTTGGAGAGAATCAACAGATTGTATGTTGGAGCTTGCCACAATAATATCATCAACATAAACAAGTAGGGCAGTAAAGGATCCATTTTTCAGTTGAGTGAAGAGACTGTAGTCGACTTTGGATTGCTGAAAACCAAAATCATGCAAGGCATTAGAAAATTTTTGATACCATTACCGTGAGGCTTGTTTTAAGCCGTATATACTTTTGTGTAAACGACATACTTGTGAAGAAGACCCTTTGGAGAAACCAGGTGATGTGCACATATATACTTTTTCATCTAAGTCGCCGTAAAGGAAGGCATTTTGGACATCAAATTGTTTGAGAATCCAGCCTTGAATGGAGGTAGCAGCGAGTAGAGTGCGAACAGTGGCAAGTTTAGCCACTGGTGAAAAAGCCCTTCTTGCTGGGTAAAACCTTTGGCGACTAAACGCGCCTTGTAGCGTTCAATGCTGCCATTTGAATGATATTTGATCTTGAAGATCCATTTAGAGCCTATAGCATGTTTACTGGGAGGTAAGTCAACAAGAGACCAAGGGCTATTAAGTTTGAGAGCAGCTATTTCAGACTGCATAGCCTCACACCAGTTGGGATTTTTAACAGCTTTACCATAGGAAGATAAGGGAGAGGAGATAGCTGAAGCAAAAGAAAAATAAGAGAGAGATAATTTCTGAAAAGAAAAAGTTGTAGAGATAGAGAACGCTTTACCTGGTGGTAAGTGAATTTCCGCAGACAATGATGAGGAAGGCGCAATGGGATCGTAGACTTCCTGTAAGTGAGATGAATGCATGGTTTGGAGGGGTGGTGGGGGAAATAAGGAATGGTAGTAGTATTTGTTAAGGTGGGCATGGGTTCTGCGTGGTGGAGTGGAGCGTCTGAGTGGTGGTGGGGGGGAGAAGAGCTGGGGGTGGTGGTTCATTAGGTGAGATGGGTGGTAAGGCTTGTGGTTCAGGATGTGGGGTAGGAGGTGTCGGTATGGAAGAAGTGGAGTCAGGGTTAGGTAGGGAAAAATCTGGAAGTGGTGCTGTGGTTGGCAGATTAGTTGAGTTGGGAATGAGGAAGAGAGTTTGAAAAGGGAATAGTGTTTCGTGAAAGACAACGTAGTGCGAGATGAATGTTTGATGAGTGTCAAGGTCTAATAATTTATAGCCTTTGACATCAAAAGGATAATCGAGGAAAGCACAACGATATCTTCTTGGATCGTATTTGTGTCAGTGGTGAGTGGGTGTTGATGCAAAAGCGAGACAGCCAAAAACACGTAAATGTGAGTAAGATAGATGTTTCTGGAATAAAATTTCATATGGAGATTTGTTTTGAAGAACTGGAGTGGGAATGCGATTAATCAAATAAGTGGCGGTGAGAATACAATGAGGCCAAAAATGCAAGGAAATGTTGGACTGAAAACGTAGTGATCTAGCAACTTGAAGTAAGTGTCGATGTTTACGTTCGACTAAGCCATTTTGCTGAGGTGTCTCAACGCATGATTTTTGGTGAATAATTTCGTGTTTAGAGTAGAAATCATGCATTTAAAATTCGGTTCCATTGTCACTACATAGGATTTTTTACTTGAGCATTGAATTGTGTTGCAACCAAGTTATGGAAAGATTCAAGGCAGTATCGGGTATCAGATTTTCTTTTCAACGGATAGACCCAAGTACAACGGGAATAATCATCAACAATGGTGAGAAAAAAATGACTACCATCGTGTCCAACAATTGAGTGAGTTCCCCATAAATCACAATGTATAAGTTCAAAACAAGAAGAAGTTTTATGAATGTTGGGATTAAAAGGAATGCGAGACTGTTTAGCAAGGGGGCAAACCAAACAAGGTAAAAATTGTTTTGAATTCGTATTTGTGTGTACATGAATATCTGAAATTAATTGCATACGGGATGGGGAGGGATGACCTAACCGGTAGTGCCATAAATCATGGAAACTATCAGCAAGTTGTATAGCAGCTGAAATGTAATTGTGAGAGGGAAAATGCTGGGACAAAGTATTGGTTAAGTCCTGTGGGGAAACTGGACCCGTAAACAGATGGTAAAGTCCATGCTTTATGCTACCCTTCCCAATTGTTGTCCAGGGAGAAAGGTCATGTATAAAGCAAGAATTGGAAAGGAAAATGAGACAGCAATTTAGTTGTGTTGCACGTTGGCAAACAGATAATAAATTGAAACGAAATGATGGCACACAAAGGACGTTGTGAATTAAAATGTTGGCTGTCACTTGGACGGTACCAACATGAGTTACTGCTGCAAGTTCCTCATTTAGGAGTTTAACAGAATGGGAAAGTGGTGATGTAATGGTTTTAAAAAGAGAGGGGTGGTAGATCATATGATCAGTCGCCCCCGTATCAATAATCCAAGGTGTTTTTGAAGAAGATGTAGAGAGACAGAGAGAGATGCCAACAACGGAAGATGAGTGGGGGTTGGAAGAAATAACCGTTTGGATGTCGTTGGCTGATGGTGAAGAATCCTTACTGTGCAGTAAGGCTATGAGGTCTTGATATTGCTCATTTGTCAACGACAAGCCTGGTTCAGATGTGCCAAGAGAAGTAACATTTGCCTTTGGTTTATGAAGCTTGTGTCCAAGAGGATACCCGTGAAGTTTGTAACAACAATCAACAACATGGCCAGCCATCTCACAGTGGGTGCATATGGGTGTTGTTGCGTTGCCAGATTTGAAATAGTTGGCTAATGTATGGCCGGTGATTTTGTAGTGAAAACAAAAGGGCTTATCTCGTTTGTTTTGGTTTGGAGAAGGGGTGGGTATGTATTTTCGGGTAGCAAGAGCTATGGAGTTATCAGTGAGGTTAAGTTGGGTGGCTACCACACGGTGTCGCTCTTGCTGTTAGATATAGGAAAATACTTTGGTGACCAGCGGTAGGGGATCAATCGACATAATCTGATCACGTATATTACCGAAAGAGTCATAAAGACCCATAAGGAATTGGATGACGCAATCCTGTTGGTAGCGTTCCGAAATGAGTTTGGTTGAGTTACATGAACAAACAGGTTGAGGGTCGTAAACAGACAATTCCTCCCAAATAGATTTGAGTTTACTGTAATATGTATTGACTGAATCATCATCTTAGGTGAGATTAGCCAATTGCTTCTTGAGCTCAGATATGCGAGGTCCATTTTGTGGTGAGAATCGCTCTTCCAGTTCGCACCAAATCTGGTGTGCATCATCAACAAATGCCACAGAGGAACGTAAATGAACGCTGATCGAGTTCTGCAACCAAGACACAACCATATCGTTGCATCTCTCCCATAACTCATAAAGAGGGTCGTCGGGTTTCGAAGGTTTGGTGAGGGATCCAATTAGGAATCCAATTTTATTTTTAGCTCGGAGTGCTCTTTGGATTGAGTGAGACCAGGTGCAGAAGTTATCGACGTTGAGAAGTTCCGTGACAAGCACAGTGTCGGGATTGTCTGAGGTTTCAAGTCTGTAGGGGTTGGTTGGGTCTGCAAGATTGGTGTATTTGTTGGGAAGTGGAGGATCGCCGGTGGCCATTGTTCACAGCTCTGATACCATGTAAGAGTTAGTGAAAACTAGTGCTGAAATGAGATGAAACCAGCAGAGCAAAGAAAGGAAAAAAGAGAAAAAGAAGGAATTGACGAAGGCACCTAAAAGAGGTAAATCTGTTGTGATTCAATTAATTGTTATGTTGTACAGTAGTCTATATATAGAAGTAATCATCTAACACTATACAATATAAAATGACTAAGTTATCCCTAAACATTTCTACAAATTACAATACATGCTAACAAGTTGTTGGAAATCTGTTGTGTACATCTGAACAGATTTGCTGAAGTGGCAAGAGAGTGTTATTCTGTAATACTTAAAAATAAAACCTATACTAAAACTCACCGAAATATACGATAATGTTGAAGTTCAGTGGTTTGTGGATTTTGATAAATCTTAGAAAAAATTGGAATGCCTGAAAACTATGAAAATTTTGTAGTAGTTCACTGGAAATGATGACTATACTTCATAAATCAACCAAAAATCTTAAAATCAGATGGTTTGGGGAGACAAAACTTGGAGGTTCTAGATTTCAATTGCGGACAAAATTTACCTTCAATGCAATTCAAATCACGGCTGCTCTCCAACGAAGACTTGATTACTATATCCTACCGATCAGATTTTGGGTTTTCTTACACTCTTCTCACCGATTAAATTGATTTTGGAAGTTAGGGTTCATGAAATTAAATTGGGGATTGCGACATTGATATAGAGGAAATTGATTTCATGTTAAGGGTTTGGATTTTTGTTTTAATTCCAAAGTCATGCTTTCCTTTGATAATTTTTTAAGGTGTGTTTAGTGAAGTGGAAGCTGATTTGGTGAACGACTAATTATTTATAGTCATTTAACTGGCCAGATCATCTTACCGCCATACATGTAGGCTCGTCCATTAACGGCTTTCATCGGATGAGTGACGGAGTTGAACGGATCAAAGTTCAGTGGCCAATAGAACAATTGATTAAGTTCGATGACTAAGACGTGATATCGTATAAAGTCCCGTGGCCATTGGGACATTTAACTCCCCGTCTCTTGTATATGCCCCTCTCTCTCCTCTCTTCGCAACTAAATCCAATTCTCCATTTCCATAAAACAATAATTCGAACTTAAATTAAACACCGAGCGATTTCTCTATCGACCGATCCGTTACAGGTGAGAGGTCCCACCCGAATCCCCCTCTGTTTGATCTATTGTCGGTGGTTAGGGATGGAAGCGGCATGTAATCTTTTTTTTTAATTTAATTGAATTTATTTTTGGTTGGGGGATTTAAATTCGTGAAACGGGCATTGGTTTTTTTATTAGCTCTTGATTTAATTTGTGTGTGAATTTGTTGTTTTTGTTGATTTTTGAGTGGCCATTTATGTTTCTTGATCTGCCTGTGGATTTCCATTTGTTGTTTGTACGTATATAGGCAATGGGTATACAAATTTGATGTTTATCAGGAATTTTTGTGTACATTTGATTTTGTGTGATTATTTGTGCGAGTGTGGTTATGTGGATATACAGGCTCTTTTTTTTTTCTTGGGCAAAAACATTGACTTAGATGGAAAATGTTGTATTATATGAGAATTTTAGATTAGAAATTTTATTTTGCCCAGTTTTTGGTTTCCTGTGGAATTATTTTTATTTTGATTAGCAGCATCAAGAAAGGCTTTTTCTTTCTTTTTTTTTTTTGAGTCAGAGTTTGGATTTTTGTATTACAATAAATTAGTATTTTGCAAGTAAATAATTGAAGTTGGATGAAAGAATTGGTACTTGAGAAAATGATTTAACAGTTAATGATTTTAAATGAATGTTACAACCTGTTGGGTAGAACTCACCCTTAAAAGCTAGCTATCAAGGGGAGGGTGCCCAAGGGGTTATAAATCACATACCCAAAGCCCATACTTTCGATGTGGGACAAATCCTATAACTTACAATGGAAACCATGACAAACCACCACGCTCCGTGATCCCCGCGCCCACGTCGGGCTGGCTTTGCACTAGCCCATGGCTAGTCCTGGACGAACACTGCTATGTCGGCGTCACCATTCGCGCCTCTCGATTACAATCGGGAGACGTGGTGCCTGCTGTGATACCATTGTTACAACCTCTTGAGTAGAACTCACCCTTAAAAGTTAGCTATCAAGAGGGTACCCAAGGGGTTATAAATCACACACTTAAAGCGCATACTTTCGATGTGGGACAAGCCTCATAACTTACAATGGAAACCATGACAATGAAGTGAGGAAAGAACATGTGACTGGAAGTTGAAAGAAGCGAGTCACTGACCACAATAAGGAGGTAACAAACTGCCTAATTATGATTGGTCACATTTGGCGAATGAAACTGCTGAAGGCAAACTAAACATAGCTTCGATTTTATGCTATCAATGGTAAATATAGATTCTGTCTTTTTTAGGCTAATCAAATTCTGTTGAGTATAATTGGTCATAGAACTTCACAGCAATGGGGACGTTTGTACTAATTATAACAAAAGATTTTATTCATGTATAACTGATTAGCAAGGGCACAAAAGTTTCTTGGAACTCTGACAGGATTGTGGAAGTTGAAAAATTCGTGAAGAGGGAGTTTGTTTTGATTGTAGATGAGTATGAATCAGTGAAGCAATTGTGATGCTATGACATTTTTCTGCAAGCAAGGACATCAAGGACATGTTAGGTTTATTTGGTTCTGTTTATCTATTGGGTTCTTAGTAATGCATTTGTATTTTCTAACCTTTTTGTCTCATTCCTTTGTATTTTCATCTGGTGCATGTTTCAGCATATCAAAGCTTAACATTGATTGGCTACTCATATGCACTAAAGCATGTCGTGCAGCTGGTTTCTCATTTGGCTTAAGTAGTCAAGTGTTAGTTACCCGCTTTTAATTATATAGGTGTATTGTTATTTATCCTTCTAATCAATAATTTATTGGTCCCATTTTTGAGTGCTATTTGAGACTTCAATTGCAATATTCCCATCCTGGTCAAATATTTGACTTCATGTACCCATTCTTGTGCAAAAATTAATTTGTTGCTTTAAATTTCTTAACTTGTCTCCTAACGAATGTCATGTCATCCACGGGTCTTTGCTTTATAGCATCAACATACACTTACTCCTGATCAAATCGGATAGGATGCTGTGCAGGATTAATTCATTCCACTTGAAGAATTTTTGAAAGAGATACATTTTTTTTTCTGGAGATATATGTCCATGTGTGTGACCAGAACATGTTATTTGCCTGCAGAACTATGTAATTGAAAAGGTCAACTATAGAAAATGATAAAGGGATTTCAATTTTATCACTGCATACACTAATTTTTTTATTTGGTGTGAATTTCTGCTCCCTCACACCCTCCCTCCTCCTGTCATTTTCCTGTGTCCCCACACGACCCATATATTCATTATCAGACGCAAAACACTACCTCATTGGTTTTTTTTTTATTTTTTTGGTATGGACATTGTTGCCATAAAAGTTGCTTTCAGTAGCAGTTGGTGGACATATTATGATTTCTTATCTTTTTCTATTTTTAAAAGTACGTGATCAGTTTTCTGTAGTGTATATCATAATTTGATGGAATAGACAAGTATTCTTATCAGTACATCTGTGCTTGGTTTACTTTTGCTTTCATATATCGTTATCCATTGGGTATCTTATCCATTAGTGTTGCAGGTATTAGCAGCTGAAGCTGAGGATATGTCTCCAGCATCCAGATCTAAGTCCAAAGACAAGAAATCTGGTAAGGAACCTCCCAAGGGTTCGTCGAAGACTTCTGGTCCTGCTAATGTCACTATTGGGATTCCAGCAAGTGGATACAATCCTCTTTTGGGAACATTCCATACAATTGACCCTGCACCACTTTCCTCTGTTGGTCCGCTTCATGCAAATGGTCGCTTTGGAAACATAGACGAGACAGATGATCAGAGTGGGATCTCATTTGGAACAGGCATTGAGTATGATTCTGTTTCTAATAATGGTAGCTGGTCTGGTGAATCAGAAGAACATAAAGAGAAAACATCTCATCATCCGCTGCATCAAGAGTCGGTGCCTGGAGCTGACAATGACAAACGAGAAAAAATCCGCCAACAGAACGAGAGAAAACATCAACGTCAAAAAGAGAGGCGAGCTCAAGAACTACATGAGCGATGTAGTGGCTATCTCATGTCGAGGAAGCTAGAAGCTCTTGCACAACAACTTGTGGCTATGGGCTTCTCTCAAGAACGGGCAACAATGGCTCTTATTCTAAATGAAGGCAGAGTAGAGGAATCAGTTGCATGGCTATTTGAAGGAGGTGAAGAAGACAAGCAGAGGGAGCAGAATCTTGACAGTGGGGGTAATTTGAAAATAGACATATCAGAAGAGCTAGCTCGTATTGCAGACCTGGAAATTAGGTACAAGGCCTCCAGGCAAGAGGTTGAAAGAGCTGTAGTCACCTGTGAGGGTGATCTTGAGAAGACGGAAGAAACATTGAAGGAACAGAAGCAGGAGCCCCCTTCTACCCCTCCAAAGCCAGAAGAAACAGGTGGTCCTCCTACTGTTGTCAATGGTGAGCTACCAGTGGCTATTAGTCAAAATGCAAAGAGGCCACTAGTAGAACCTACTATATCTGCTACCATACAACCGAAAAGGGACGACAAAGATTTCAATTACACCAAAATTCCAGTTACAGCTGTTTCTTTGGTGGATCCTGGAAGCAAAAGTATGCAGATGTTGAAGAAAATACAACCTAAAATGGATTTGGCCAAATTGCAACAGATTGCCATGCCGGCAGAGAAAAAGTGGCCAAATGCAGAAACAAACCCTTCAGTTTCCCAGTCATTAGCACCACCTTTGCAGGCTTCACCTCCAACAGCGAAGACAGAAGCCCTCTGTGTCGCTGTTGAAAATGATTTGAAGAACCTGCAGATTGGATCAGTGAGAGAACCAGTTGTGGTAATGCAGCGATCCCAATCCATCAACGTACTGCAGGTTCCTACTTCAAGTGTTAGCTCATCTCCTTCCGCGACAGCTATGGGTAGGTATAATGGCGTGGAAACTGTGAAGTCCATTGGGTTGGTACCACCTGTTCCAGGCACGAGAAGCCCGAGCCTCAGTTGCACGAGTTCAAATATATTGTACAATAACCAACTAAATTATCTACCCCATCAGCAATTTTTATTGAGCAGGGGTTCAGTGGAATCTCTAGGAACTATACAGGGAAAAGATTTATGGAGTAGATTAGGTACATCTCCAATGCTAGCCCCAGCTTCTTCCCTTGGACTATTCTCTGGGTTGGGCACCAATGGGTCGTCTGGTTCTTCATACCTGGTAGACTGGAATACAGGCAGCTCAACCTCGCAGTTAGATTACACCAGCATAGACTGGAGCGTGGATAGAGGGTCGTCTGTGTCTAGGCCCGGAGGGTTCTGGCCTAGTGAGAATGCCTTTAGGGGAAACAGTACCCGTGCATACGATCCAATCACTTATGGTCGAGGCATCAAGACTGCTATAAGACCAGTTGTGTCCAATGGGAATGGTGTTTTTATTCCCGGATTGCAGGACAGTGTAGCTTCTACGCAAACATCTGCTGGTAGCTCTCGAGAATGGACTTCTCCTTTTGAAGAGAGAGACATTTTCAGTTTACCCAGACAGTATGTTTCCTCTCCTTCTCAGTAACACGAGTAGAGGGAGTAGAGAGAAGAAAGAAAAATGAACAAAAAATGGAAAAAAAAATGACCAGTAAAATATGCTTGGATTTGGTGTTGGTTGGTACTTGTGATACTTTTTACTGTCGATATTTTTATTGGTCAACCTTAGTGGATGATAACTCTCTCTTTGTTTAATCTTTGGTTATTTAAGTCATTTTCCAACTGCCATTACCAAAGCAGTAGGAGTGTCTCTACACTAATTAGAGTCAAATATCTTTTCATGATTTGACACGTCCTTGGATTAGTTCATTTAAATCTCCCAAGCAATGAACTGAACATAGGGTCAGAAAATACTTCAGGTAGCCAACTTTAATTGATCTGATTACATCCCTTAGTTTGTTGTTGTTAAATAGGAACTGTGTGTCAAGCTCCAACCCCAGCTGACCACCCGAATGCACAAAAGAAAGCCAGTGCCACTTTGTACAGCGGAGTTCTAATTTGCAATATTGTGCTGGGAAAAAGCAGAGGTGTAACATGCCTAGGAACTCAGGATATCTTACCAGTTCCAGTTCGACAGTGTCTCACGATCCTTTCTATTGGTAGCTTCTCCAGTTCGCTCTTAATATTCCTCGCCTCTCCAACTATGCTTTTTAACCATTTTGAACGTGCTAAAACCATTGCTAACAAAATAAACAAATATCAACGGCAATGAGAGAAAAGCAAGAGAGTAGCGTGAGCACGGCAAAACTCTTATCACCCCTAAAGAACATACTCAAAAGTGAAAAATTGTATTGACTTATGACATCAATTTATCGTTGAAGTGAACTACATAAGCAAGGTCAAGAGGTGGCGTGAACACTACAAAAACTCTATAACCGCATAATAGATCCAAAAAAAAAAAACCCTACTTATGTCACGTCCCTCTATGGGTATAAACACAAAGAAAGAAAAATGGTAAATAATTTCCCAAATTTCTCAATCAAACCACCTGCGCTGATGAAAACAGGGAGCAGTGTAGAAAATGGACACCTAACAAAATCTCGCCCTCTGGTGCACAAAGCTGGCACACAACCACTTTGCAATTGAACACACTATAGCATGTAGCTGCACATTCACCCTCCTTCCTACCTGTCTTCAGACCGAGTCCACACTTCCCCGTCGTCATCCTAACTAACTCACAGCGTATATTGATAGGTGTAAAACTGAATCGATATGAAAGCTCAGTTAAGCACTCAAGACTTTACAGTTTTTTACTAACGACACTAGATAGAGTGACCAACGTTGAAATAAATTATAAGATCGTTGACAAACTTGAAAATTTTGCTACAAGTTCAATAACCACGGGTGAATTTTACCCAATCTTAGATATATATCAACGTATGGAGACAAGACAACCATGAGCAGGTAAAACCAAAGGCATTATTTACATGATGGAAAAATTAAGTTTTCAGCTACCCTTGTTCAACTTACTAATCCTTAAAAGACAATTTTATGACCATATCTATTCTGCCAAGATATTTGCTAAATCGACAACCAGATTACAGAGGCACACGATAGGAAACAGACAAGAAAAAGCGAACCAAAGAGAGAGAATTTGCAGCAAACACAACGTTAATTATCAAAAGGCCATCCAGGGTAGCATACCCTCACGATTATCTTCGTTAAATGCCGTTGAACTAATTCCTCCTGCTTCAGCACAACGGCGAGTGCTTTGATTGGACAATCAGAAAGGCCACAAAAACGAGAATGGATTCCTTCTCCCCTGATGCTGCACATTGTCCCTTCCACTGTTGCGGGCACCACTGCTGCCACTTGCGTTCCCAGTTCTCGAATTCCAGTTGGGACAAGAACTTCCAGAACCCTGTGAAGGCAGCTCAAGACGGCAGACGGGACAGGAGTTGTGTTGAACCAACCAAGGAGTAATGCAATCAGAATGGTAAATATGATTACATGGCATCTGCCTAGCTTCAGTACCCAACTCAAATTTATCTTGACAAACTGGGCAGTGAGAATCAGTACTAAGATGCCTCTGAGTAATTTTAATAGTGGGCATAGCATCAATTGCAGAACGAGGTGCCGGAGGTGGCCCCTGCCTATCATTCATGGTAAGCTGCTCGATCAATTCTTGCAGTCCAGGCCCCATAAAAATATCACCAAAATTACCTCGACGCTGCCCCATTCCAGGGTTTCCATTGAGAAAGAACTCAAATGCATTATTATCAGACATGCCGACTGGTGATTGCCCATGAAATATCAACCATGGACCAGAAGGTCCAGAACTGAAGGCCACACTGTTTTCAGGAGTCGCACCTGATCGCGTCCTAATGTCGAAGGTTGGGTTTCTCCCAGCCAGTCTCTGCCTCATAAGTGCCGCGAATGCATCCATGATCCCAAATCTTGGATCATGGAAAGGTTCCATCATTCCAATATCAGATGCATCTCCTGAATGAGATCCAAAAAATTCCTGCTGTTGAGCACCAATGACCTCGTCAAGCTCTTGTACGAAGCCTCCATCGCAATATGGACAAGTCAAATTATGACCTCGAAGACGAACTGGCCGCCTGCATTGGTAGCAGAAATGAGTATTTCCGCCGCTTGACATCCTTCCTTGGTACGGTTACTAATTATATGACTGTAGTATCATTTTAAAAAAAAAACACCCGTAGTTGAGTTACAGATCTTATAAGAACAGATGAGTAATAACGTTATAGTGTATGGTACCGAATAAGGACAAAAGATCATGCACTTCTTAGTGAAAGAAAAATCCTTTTGATGTACAAATACAGAATACAAAATTTCATAATATGATAAACAGTGTGATAGTCATAAGACATTAATTATCGTCAATATAATAAAAGTTCACTATGCCTTAAGAAAAATGTTCAAACAAACCAGAGGAACATTACACAAGTGGGAATCCAGAATATTCTACAAAGGAAAAATAACCCCCTAAACTTCATTTAGACAAAACAAGGAGGGAGGGAGGGAGGGAGATCATAAAAGGAAGATCATATTATTGATGGTGTAAAAGGAAGATCATAATTTTTCTTAGTAGTCGTGTTTTCCTTATTAGTCATGTTTTTGACCTATATAGAGACGTCCATTGATTGTAATAAGACAGACTTGATTATTGAATAAACTACAATCTTCCTCCATTTTCTCTCTTATTCTCTCCTCTTTTCTTCCTATTGGTTTCACGCATTTCAATCAGCATCATATATTTGTTAAAAAAATCAAATTTTGTGCATGAGAGCAGAAATCAAGTGGAAATACATATACAAATACATAACCAAGAATAATTGCAATTCATCGCATAACCATCAGATGCAATAATCAAATAAATAATATTCACCAAAATTAAGGTGAGAAAAATCAAGAAAGCAAATTAAAATGAATTTACACCAAAAATAACATGGGGCATATCATTTTTCCGTTTTATGCTTCCCTAATCAATAAAATTCCCACTTAATAGATTCAAGAAAACAAACACATGGATGCTAATGATCGTGTAAAATAAGATATCAAACCAAAAATATCAAATCAGTATTATTCACCAAAGCTACACTTAAAAAAAAAAAAATCTGACTAAGAAATATCCAGTCAAAGTCAAATTAACAATAATTTTCTCAAATTTTCCACTATTCCAACAAAAATCAAGGATTTTAACCAATACAAGAGCTGTTTTCCATTTCACGCTTCCCTAAATCATTCGCATCACTACAATCCCCCAGTTAATAGAATCAAGAAGACATAAATACGCGTGTAAAATTAGAAATCAATTGAAAAAATAAATAAATAAATAACTAAACAGAAATTAGAATAAACTTAAAAATCCAAAAGATCTGAGTCTAAGATAACCAGAGGGTCTTGTTCAGGTGGTCAGTGGACTGCTGCTAGAGAGAGAGGGGGGAGATTGGATATGTGCGGTTCTAGAAATTACGATGACTTTTGGTTTCATACGAAAAGAAAGACGCCTGGTTGGTACGTTCGACGTGTTTTTCGGGGTTTCCGAGTTTCCTACTATTCTAACTTTTTTCTATGGTTTCAATCACGTGTTCTCCTAATAAAATATTCTATGGGTAGATTCAATATTTTTCTTTACTTTTTAAATATATATTCTCCTAAAAATCATTTTATCCAAAAATTTATTTTTTCCAAATAATGATGATCAAATAAAGCCTAAATAGTTAATCACTAATATTTACGTTTAGTCAGGACTTGCTCACTTAGAGCCTGTTTGGTGCACATTAAAATGAGATAATACATTTTTTTGAAATGAAGTGATAGGGAATATGTGATTAAAAATGAAGAAAAAGTTATTGATGTGATGGAAAATATTATTTTATTGAAGAATGTGTGGTTGAAAATGAGTAAAAGAATGAGAATGAAAAAAATAATGTGGGTCAAACAGGGACTCAAATATAAAATATTACTAACGTCTATCTAAATTTCGTTAGTCCACGTGGTTAAAAATCATACTTGACAAATGAAGATCTTACGTGACAATTAATGGCGTTAAGATTTGAAAATTATTTAAATGAGTAATTATTAATATTTACACTTGGTTACTGCTTGCTCACTCAAAAATGAAAGTTGTTGATTGTTCGCTCATATTTACGCAATGTTATCCATCCATTATTCATTTCAATTTTATTTTTATGACATTCAATTTTTTATATGATTTTCATGATTTTTGGATTGATTTTTAGAAATTACGTTGCTCACTCTATTTTTCTCATTTTTTTCTTTTGCAAAATTTATTTTTTATTTTATTGTCCGATCTATTTATATTAATTTTGCGGACGGCCCTTGTCTAGACTGTATAAAAAAAATTTAGGAAAAATATTTTTTGGAATAGCAATTTTTTGGAAGATGTGTAGTTCAAAAATTTAAAAGAAAAAATGGTTTATATGTAACATTATTTTATAAGATAAAGTGCGGTTAAAAATAGAGTTTTTGAAAAATGGAGTCCAAATAGGAGCTCAAAAAAATTGAATGGTACTAAAAAAATTGAGATGGGTGACGGATGAGTAACATTGTGTAAATGTGAGAAAGTAACCGTTATTATTTTTGAGTGAGCAAACAATAACCAAAAGTAATTTTGAGTGAGCATCAAAGATAAAAATTAATGATTATTCATTTAATTAATTTTCAAATTTTAACACCGTTAATTGTCACGTAGGATTTTTTTACCATCTGGATCAACGTAATTTAGATAGAGGATAGACGCATAACATTATGTAAAAATGAGGGAAAAATTTAGGGTACATAATTGCGTGTAACAGTAGTTGATTTGATGAAAATGTTAACTGTATTTTAAATTGTTCAATGATAAAATGTCATGTACCATTGTGTCAATTTTGATATTCATGTAGCATGATTGAAAAATTTATGTCGTGTTATTGTACCGTGTAGACGATTGAGTTCCTAAAGAATATATAAGGGTATATTTTATTAAGCACTGATTTAATTTCTAGAATTTCGTAAGCATTATTTCCTAATTTGTAACGACCGTAAAATTAACAAGAGAAATTATGAAAACGCACTTCCATCTACAATAAAAATAAATAAATAATACATAAATCTTCAAGTTCTAAAAATAGATTCTTGTGTATAGCATGCGGGCTAACAAATTATTTAAAAGGAAATTTATATAATTACAAACATTTTAAGATACATTTTAAAAAATAACAAAGTAATTATTTTTCAAAAATCAAGTGGTCACATTTTGTGACCCTTTATACAATATTGTGACTTATAATTTAATTAATCGACGCACGATCACAATCACACACAATTTAGGGCCCGTTTGACCCTCATAAAATTATGTAGAATGTATTTTGGAATAATATATTGATAGAGAATGTGTGGTTAAAAATGAAGAATTTTTTTTTGGTTACGTGTAATATTATTTTATTGAAAAATGTGTGGTCAAAAAGAAGAGAGAAAAATGTATTTTAAAAACTTGGGATCAAATAAGGTCTTATTATGACAATTACATTCTAGTCACAAATCATATAAAGTTGCAATCACAGAGACAAATTTATGGGGGCGGAATTTCAATTTTAGTTGCAAATCATAAACTTTATTCTGTCCAAAATTATCCATTTATCCAGTCACAAACTGTAACAACCCGAGTCTTTGTGCGTAAACCGTTATATCACACGTACTATCCGTTTTGGAAGAACCTGAGCGTATCTTACCTATCACAGTTTTCTATCGATTTGCCCAATTGGTACCAAAATTAACTTAAATTTCTCATAAAGTAGAGGTATTAAGTTTGAATCTTAATAGACGCAATATAAGTTCGTGAAGGGTAAAAGGACATAGGCTTTCCCAAGACAAATAGCATGTATAATATAATGATTTGAACATATAAGCCCGCCCCGCCCCGCCCCGCCTCGCCTCGTCTCATCCCACCCCATCCCCATCCCCATCAACACCAACCAAATGGTTGTCGACACCTCAAATCCACCTCCACCCCACCACATCCACCTTCAACGTACATTAAATCCCACACCTCATCCATAATGAAACCACCATCACCTCCACAATCAAATCACTATCACACCATCATAAACAAGCCACCTTTGTCACCACTGCTCTCCGACCAAATTAGACAATTCCACCATTTGGTTTTTGGACATCCTAAGATCAATGGCGGTGATCCAGTCATCTGAATCCAATAGGAAGTAGGTGGATTGGATACCAATCCATCAATCGAGTGACTCCAAAAACGATACATTGGATCCAAAATCTGCAGCTATTTGTTGAAAATGATGGTTGGGAATCGTAGGAGAGGTAATTCCACCACTGATAAAGGGGTGGGGTGCTGATGGAAGGCAACTCTGTGTCACCTTTAAGAGATAAAATTGGAAAAGAATGGGACGGGGTGGGATGAGGTTATGTTAAGGCCCATTAAAATTATAAGGATCTTACTACATGTATATTGAGATTTACATAATGGATTACATGATATCACATGACACTCGACTATTTGTCAGTTTAAAACACAATCAACTTTTTCATCCAATATTTTCCATTTACATCATATTATGTAATCCATTATATACATTTTTTATATACAAATAGCAAAATTCAAATTTATAATTCATTTTTCTCTACAATCTTATTAACCACACATTCTCTAATAAATAATATTACGCGTAAACAAAAGACTTTTCATTCCTTTTTAACCACACATTTTTCAAAAAATTACTATTCCAAAATACATTTCTCACAAATTCTCACTATAATGGAGACCAAACAATGGCTAAATATACCTGATTTTCTATAAAATAAAAAATAAAAATATTACTACCTGATTTTTGAACATGAAACTTAAAATGTACGGAACTAGACGATTTTCCCTTATTTGAAACTCGTAAAACATGCACCAAATCTCTTGAAGATTTATTTCAACCTATATTTACTTCTATATTTCAATGTCCTTAAATTATTAAAAAGTTAAGGTTTTAAGAAGTGTGAGGCGTGGAGATCAAGCCTCGCGTCTCAAACCTTACGTACCAAAACATAATAGCACATTTTTTTTATTATATATCACTAAATAAATAATATAAAGCATATCTTGAAAATTTACAACAACTTCATACATATTTTTTTAAGTTCTAACCAAAACATAATTCTTAAAATGATAAATACTTCTATGGTGGATTTTTGTTAGAACACTATTTAATACTCAAATCTTTCATCGTTGTTATTATTATAAAACCACCGAAATTTTCTCTTAAATTATCACACGTCCTTCACATATTTAACTTTATTAAATTAAATTATGTTTCTCAACATAGAAAAGTATCTAGAAGTTTGAAGTGGGACGTATTTCTATAAATCCTTTCTTATTCTAAATTTTCCGAATAAAAAGAATTTTATGAATGGAAGAAATAAGAGAATGTACATTTCGAATTAAGCTATATGTACATCTTATTTCACACCATGGATGACATTCCCCATATGTGGCATAATTTGAGCAGTTATATGAAAAGGTGTTGGAGAAATCAAAAGATGTGATTGTGCCGTATGTAAGAGCGCAAACAAAGATACAAAGAATTATGTACATGTACCATGATTGATACATTTTACCCCATGCTTCTCTGATATCTGCATATTTGCCATGGCTGTTATTTTCTCGGACCTGCACACTTAGCCTCCGTTTGGTAACCATTATAATTTTCATTCTCATTCTTCTACTCATTTTCAACCACACATTTTTCAATAAAATAATATTTTCCATCACATCAATAACTTTTCGTTATTTTTCAACCTCACATCCTCCATCAATCTACTATTACAAAGTACATTCTTTCAAAATAATGTGGTTCAAACNTGAAGAAGAATGGCTTCCAAACGGAACCTTAATCCAGTCTCAATGCCCTCAATAATATGTCGAGTAAAGTGAATCTAAAATTGTCCATTTTACGGTTTAATAGGATCTAATCAAACGCATCTAGAAGGATGTGACTTTTTCCCTTTCGCACTTTGGTAGTCTGTATAGAGGTTCTAACTAGCTATGGTGGATAATTTTCTCCTAGTTTGGGAAGGGCAGGGATTATTGCAATTATAGGTTAGAAGTCTATTAGATACAGAAGAATTCTGATCATTTCAAATCACTCCACGGCCATGAGTGCGCGTGCATACTTTTATGTTGGATCTTAGAGTAGGCATTTGTTCATGGTTGTACAGGGCCACATGGGCCCTATACTAAGTGGCGCCCCCTATAGGGGCCTGTGCACTGCTCTTATAAATAAGGGTAAAGCCCCTTGTACCGGGACGTACCGGGCCGGTACAAGTAGGGCGGTCCTACAAATAATGGTATGGAGAGCTTTCCCGGGAAGGCTATTGGCAGTAAGAGAAGATATTCGGATAAATCTGATTCTTTTCGACTTTTGAAGTTCATGTAATGTTCTATGAATAACCTCTGGAATGCAAGAGGAAACGGGGGAGAGCATTTATCTATACACAAACACCAACAATATACTGCACGGGTTCATGATTGTGTCACTTGAGACAAACAGTATCCTTCATCTCGATTATCAGTTTTTCCCAGCACGACAACGTCTAGAACATCTCCACGAGTTCATATAGCTAATAAGACTTAAAACAAGTTCGCTAGCATGCATAAGCACAATACATTTTAGTTTCTTAGAGGCTCCTCTGGTAAACAAACCACTAAAATCCTATTTTCAGAAGAGCTACGAACCCTTATCAGACTGAACTGGTTCTTCGAAGCTGATATCTTGGTTCAGAAGAGTCGGAAGGCAGCATTTTCATGAATTCCTGTTAAGAATAGAAACAGCATTAGCTACAACTGCCTACCATCACAAGAAAAACAACAACGTCATCTATAAAAGAAAATGGGTTTGTTCTATATGAAAACAGCGGAAAACAGTTTGACACAACATATAATTGAGATCATAAAGTGTTCTCTAATGAGGGTAGAACTACCATCACAAAATCGGCTATCACAATTTATATTATTCCCTTTTTTTTTTCTGAGACATAGTAGCATTTGAAGGCATGGTGAGGATAAGAAGTCTAAGCTTCTAAAAACATGTCTGGTATGGAGGATCAAATAGTACTTTGAAAAAGAAGCAATCCTTTTGTTCATTATGATCTCTAATATGCACTTAAGGCGCGCACGAGAGGATGAATGGTTTTCATTTTAAACATCACCCGTTTGATGCCTGAAGGGATATAATTACCCATCTACATGCAAGAATAAAACCAGCCTCATGCGTAATCCAAGACCGAGTATCAGATGGTAAGATAAACTAAAGTTCTATTCTCGGTTCTTTGTTTAGTGATGTAGGTAAAAGTCGAAATTTTGGCCAGTGGGGTGCTGGAAAAGTTATATGTGGAACTCATAAGTAGGAGAGGAACTAGCTGTCTGGGACATCACACTATTGAATAATCCTATCTGTCACCATCAAGCTCTTAATTCCTTTTCCCCCCCAGTAACAAAGCAGAAACTTATTTTTCTGAACATTGTTGCTAAACTCCTAGTAGATATTGCCTTCCATTATCTCAAACCCACACAATGAAAATCTTGCTATTTTATGCTTTCCAATCATGATGACAGAGACATGAGGAGGATAAATAAAAGGAATACAGGACGCCGAGGATCAACACATGGAGTTTCCCAATGAAATTTTCACTTTATTAATGATACTAATTAACAGGTTCCTAAATCCTAAAGATAAACAAGGAATGAATTAACAAACAACCAAATTGCGTCATCATTGCCAGATATTGATAATTGGCAGGAATTATTACCGCTCCATTTTGTGTGCGAGAGAGAGGTAGACAAATGAGTTCTGGTTTGCATACCACCAGCTAGACACTGCTTGAAGGTGCAGAAATAGTACAAATAAATGCTTAGAGACCAACGAGATTTGACAGTGAAGGGATAATTGAAGTAGAGGAAGCGTTGATCGAGAACGGTAATACATAACGATCATGGATCGAATACAAGAAGAAAATCAAAGTAAGTTTAATGACGCGAAATGTGGATTCCTAGTTGGTTTCCTATATTTTCAAACCAACGTAGCAGGAGGGTAAAGGAGGAAAAGGTTTGAAAAGAAACAGTCATCTCAGATGTCAAAAACTAGCTGCTATATAGGCTCATGTGAGTAGGAACAAAAAGAACCTACGATCTTTGCATTACCCATTTTGACCTCAAAGCGGGAGAGTATTTTTATTAAGAAGTCTAAATGCTTGTTGCAAAAGACTTGAGAAACCTAATCAGTAGAACGATACATTGATTAACTCAGAAAAAAAAAATCAGATGCCAAATAATATTTTTTATTCGTATAGATATTTTGGGATTATACTTTGATAATCCGAATCCATATTTCAGAGGCCCAATTACAAAATACACATTCAAAATTGCTTCATTTTCTCGATTCTCAAGGAAGGAAGTGGTATGTTCATATCTAGGCAGAGACTGTCACAGATGTCAAGAATGTTACTTGTATGGGAAGAGGAAATGGATTAATATTCAAAAATTCGATCAATGAAACTGTAAAGAGAATGCAGAAAATTATAGAGGATATTCTAATATTTTGGATATCAAACAAGAGACTTAAGGAAGCAACAAGCAGAGCCAGAGCCTTGTATTAATATTCCAGAGCACATACCCTTGTACTGTTTCGATGGTTGATACCTGGTTTGTTGGAACTTAGTGTAACACGTGAAAAGATCACAGTTCAAAAAGTAGAATTTCATTCAAGTTGTTACTAATTAAAAAGATCTTGAAAGATTTTCAAACAAATAAATTATTGATTTAGTGATACACGAGGGATCTACTAGTGCTTAGTCACACATTTGGAATATTGCAACCCCAAAAAATATCATGAAACACAAGACCAAATGGCTCATGATGAAAACAGTTTCCATAATCTAGTCACACATTAAGAATACGGAAAATTCCAAAAAATGAAAAACGGGAATATGCTACCATTCATATCAGAATTGACAAATTGGAGGATCAGTAAAATGCCTTGTTGAGGAAACCTTACAAGACCTTAAGTATCTACTAAGGTTAACTTAAATTGGAATATACCAAAAACAACAATAAAGGACATAAGTTTGAATATTCATTATTTTCTGACAAAAGAAAAAACCGTAAGATTTGATATTAATGGAACTTCCAACTAGCAGAGACTACTGGTGAAGTGATTGTTCAGAATTATGACAACGTCACTGGAAAAATGATAATCTTTATAAAATGAAAACTATGGTTAAAGATTATTCAATGATCCAAAGCAGCAAACATCAGAGATACAAGAAGGACGAGGCAGGTACGTTGATTTGTTTTTGAAAACCTGGATAGTGCATATCAATTATCATGTGAAGAGATTCTCCCACGGAGTTGAGGTTTCTCAATAGGTGGGAAGTAAAATAACATCAGTGGTCGAATCAACTAACCTCAAACTTTCTCACTTCAAGTTTTGCTTGTCTATTTAGTTCAATTTTGAAGTCGGGGATCTCCTCTCAATGCTATATTAAGAAATACATAGCATAAATCCAAATTGGGGCGAGTGAATCTCTTTTAGCTGTAGGCTCAGATGACATTAGTCACTCAGTGCTAATTAAACTTACCTATACAACCAGCACTGCGAGACCGACATAAACAGCAAGAGAAGGGGGAAAAAAGGATGATAAGGGTCAAAGTGTAACTTCAAATTCAAGAAAAATTGTATCAAGTAAATGACTGAAAAATATATCGAAGTCCAGGAAAAGTCCGACTCTCAAGTTTAGCATTTGTTAAAAAGCAATGCTCAAAACCTAGAAGGAAATGCTAGGATTGTTATAGATTATAAAGTGCTAAACAAAGCAATGAATTAAGATGGACATGTGATCCTAGACTGTAAAAATTACAATTAACATGTTTGAGGGAAGAATCATTTAATTAATGAATATGAATTAAAATAGAATGTGTTCATCACGTCTTGTCAAGGAAAGTTATTCGAGTCTAATAAATTCTCTAAATGCAAAATGCTCTTTATTTTAAAGAGTAAATTAAAAACAAACCCCAAAATGCTCTCTATTTTAACTTTTTAAAATGGAATAGAGAGTGAGTTCGATTCTCCAAATTTAGTGAGTAAAAAACTTTCTATTCATAATGAACAATTATTGCATTTAATGAGTCACAAATTTCAATACTCTACTTCTTAAACTATTCAAACTATATTTAAATTGATTGGCTACTTATATACAAAAAATTATGTTAAATAAAACATGGAGAGAAATCAATAAATGTTTCTTGAGAAAAGAAAATTGAAGAGCAATATAGAGAGCATAGTTGGAGTGAATAAAAATTTTGACTCTTTAAATTTAAAGATGCTCTCTATAATGCATAAAAAGATCTTTATAAATACAAAGTCTCTTGGAGATGCTCTAATACAACTTAAGAAGGTAGCACACTAATTCACTTACAATATATTTAGAATTGAAAAGAAAATTATTGGAAAAAGAAATCAACAAGTTTATTATGATCCGTAATTTAAAAGGATTCAACATATTACGGAACAACTACAATTATTTCATTGTGATTCGTAATTTAAAAGGATTTCAACATCATACGAAACCAACTACAATTATTTCAAATACAAACAAAAGATTAAAACAATTTACAGAATATATAAGCATCACGTACCGTGCTTTGGAAGTTTGTACATTATATATCATAATCAATAAATTTGTACATTATGCCCTTGTTTGATCCACATTATTTTCAATATATATTTTCTCTCTTTTTTTTTTTTTTTTCAATCACGTGTTCTTCAATAAAATAATATCACACGCAAATCCAAAACATTTCATTATTTTTCAGCCACATATTCTCCATCAATCTTACTATTTCAAAATGCATTTTCAAAAAAAAATGGGGCTCAAACTAGCTCTATATATTACAATCAATACTTTCTTTAAATTGAAAAACTTAAAGGTGACAAGTGAAAGCAACTCATTCATACGAGAATTATGAAAAACTTTCCAAAGTTAAATCTTCCTAAACATGTCAATAAATCGATCAAAAGTACTATATATAATTTCTTTTTTAAATGATCATGTAGTAGCAATATTAAATGTAAAACCTCCCAAATAATCTGAAGATCATATCTACAGCATTTAAGCAGCATGCTACGAGATGCTAAAGCAATACGTAATAGTAGACTACAAAGATTTCTATTAGAATTCACAAAATGCGTATAACGCTTTCTTTAAACTAGGTTTCAGAGATATATTCCAAACTTAGTTAAATATATGGCAAAATTGGTTAAGATTTTAATCCATGCAGAATGCACAGCATTTCATGAGGATGCCGTTCCTGACAACCCAAACCTGAATTTAAGTTTTATGATTATAGAAACCAGTAAAGCAAAGCAGATAAATTACAAATAATGACTTTCAAATCCCTTGTTTGTGGAGTTAAGATTTGTTCCACAAGAAATGGGTGGAAGATCTGAATAGTTAACTCAATTTTCCGATGATCACTTGAAATTTTCATCCATATACATAGATCATTACTCAATTCACTAAAGCAGCGATGAAATTGAGGAGAGCTATTATTATTCTGATGGTTGGCAATTCATCAAGACCTTCACCTTCATCAGGACAATTGCCAAGGTAAGTCATGACTGTGATGGGTTTAGCAAAGACAGTGTCACTTTTCGGCCAAAGAAACCCTTTAATGACAAATTTCACATATGTTGACTAAAAATTCTTCATTGTTCCATATATTCGGATAACTTTTTTGTTAAAGAGAACTACAAGAGTGAGCGAGCTGCCCAGGAAGGCAGCGGTGACTACTCACTAAAACCAACAAAAAAGAAGACGTCACCGAGATAGAAAGTTGATATGAATTTGTGACTTCACATAAATCAGTTGGCCTTTTTTAGTTGTCCCTACAGGTCAATAGTGGGATAAGAATACAACAAATTTTAGGTGGGTTTTCCAGAAACAACAAATCATATGTGTGCCTCCACAATACTTGTTAGATTACAAGACTTGTGCGACTCCCATCTCGTGTCTTTTCTAAGGAATTTCATGCACATACAGAGTATAAAGAAAATTTATTTATTTTTTCCTTCGGTGATTAACTGTCCGTTCTGAACTTACTTAGAGCCTGTCTGGCATTCATTCTCAGCATGAGAAAATCAATTTTGGAGCCCTTTTTTTGACTTTGTCTCACAAGCTTGCAGGCCAAGAAAGTGATAATTGTACTGTTGAAGCACTCAACGGTCAAAAAAGCAATTTTCATCCCAAATTTTAGCTCTACCAGACATACCCTTAAAATAAATGAAGCAGCAGAAAAAATCCAATGAACTCATACCGTAGAAGAAATGTTCTTTGACTGTCAATGGATAAAGTAGTTCTATTGGATAACCATTATCTTGTAGGCTAAGCATCCACCCCTTAGATATAAATTGACAATTGTACTCATCCCATTCATTTTAGTGATCTCTGATCATATATACTACTTAATTTTCAATTTCTTCTCTAACTTTAAATTATCTATGAAGAATAAGCAATCCTGTTCCATTGATATCAGAACTGGATACCTTACCACAATAAATCCACAATCATTTGACACTAACTCTATTTGTCCTGGATTAAGTTCCCTATAAATCTGTGTAACCAACATCACATGGTAGTAACATCTCATATGACAAAAATTGTAATATTATACTATAGAAATGCAAATACATATGCAGCACAGGTAGAGAGATACTGAAGATATAGATAGATATTCCCCACCTTTATTTTTTTGAGCATCGCGTTTACTTCTTCAAGATACGAAACACTGCTCGCTAGCTCGTAGTGGTAAGCCTGTGTAAATTGCCAGAAAGCAAATCTCTTCAGGTAAAACATATAAAACCTAGAAACTAAATGACCGATAGATATTAAATCCTGCCTGTTTTCTCGCCCGTGAGCGTGCGGCAGACTCCCTGTTTTTAATCTTTCTCTTTAGCCTCCTATCAAGATTCTTCTGAGGGTCTCCAGAGTTAGTCTTCCCAAGTGTCAACTCTATTTCCTTACCACCCGTCTCCTCTGCATTCCTTATCTTATGTCCTTGGATATCCTTCCACACTTCCTCCACTGTCTTCCCGTTAAACGCCCTAGCAAGTGACAAGCTAGCCTGCAGCTGGTGTGAGGATGCCGGGGAAGCATTGTTCGGGTCCATCCAGGAAGAATTGCTTGCCTCGGCATTCCATACATTTTTAAGCAACTCTTCAAGATTCATGCTGCCTAATGGTTTGCCCAAGTCACCCAACTGGTTTTCGACCTCATTGAGTGTGAGGCTAAACCATGAGTTCTGTTGCCTTGCTAGTGGTGAGTGTCCAAGTGCCTGCTGCCCACTACTACCAACCCCACGAGAATTCATTGTCTGAATTCCATTCACATCTAAACCCCTGACAAATAAATGATAAAAAATATTCAACAAATCAATCAGCTACTAAATTCCAAGAACCTTAAAAACCATAAATATGAAACAAACGTGAAGCAAATCATCTACACAAATGCATGCATGCATAAAAACACTCATAGCAAAATGCAAAAAGATTTCGGACCCATTAAATTAACAAGTGGAATTTTTATACAAGAAAAAGAAAACAAAAACATCGAGCAAAATTCAACAAGCTCATAATGTGACACATAAAAAAAATTAAAATTAAAATTTCTCCTTAAATTTAGTGAGGGGGAAAACTAAACCACAGGACAAACACCCGTGATTCTATTCCCAGGAACAGAAACTCAGCAGCAAGGCAAATAATAATAATATGGTCAATAAATGGCGAAATAATTACCTAAACATTATAGAAACAATTCTGGAAATAGAATTACCTGGTAGCAGAAGATGGTCCTGATGTTTTGAAATTTACAAGAGACTATGGAGGACATTGAAACCATTTGTTCTGTGTCTTCCTCTCAGAGATCCACGTGGTCTCAATTTCGACAAATGTTCATCTGGAGAAGTTTTTGTATTTTTACATTTTCTTTTTTCCGTTTCTGCCATTTTGCCCCAAGGGCAATTGACATGATTTTTACTTTTATTTTTGCTACCAGTAGAAGAGTTCATTAGGAAGCTCATTACTAGGTACTGAACTCCATATCCATCAGATCAACTGTGTTCAATTAGATATCTTAGGATTTAAAAAGTCTAAGATTATTCGATAAGACCTTATTGATATTGATGTATTATTTTTAAAAAAGTTTTTAAAAATGACTGTATATTCAATTAAAACTTTTTAAAAGTTTCAAATCTTGCAATATTCTAATTATTAATGACTTTTAAAGCTATAAAAATTGTTGGGGTACTAATTTTTAAGTAAAAAGTACTAAAACAAAATCTCAAATTTGTTTCTCGTTCATCCCAAAATTTTGGGAGACTTTCACCAAAAATAAAATAAAATTAGTATGTGTTTTTTTATTTAAAATTTCTAATTTACCCTCCTTTTTAAATAAAAAAATAAAAAAATTAATAATATTAAAAAACTAAAATAATTGCAGCTAGAATTCTAATTTTTAAAAAAAATTACAAATGAGTCACGTAAAACAATTTAAAACATGCAAACAAAAAATATATATTTCCTCTTCCCCATAATATAATACACACAAATATATATATATAT